TCAATATTTTTAAAAGTGATTTACAAAATTAAAATATTACATAACGTAAAGTCTACTGGGAATGGTTACGGAAGAACTCGTTCATCCTTTTCTTCCATTGCCCGCATGGCGGTCATCTGTTCTTCCATTGCCCTCATGCGGGTCATCTGTTCTTCCATTGCCCGAATGCGTTCTGCATCTTCTGCGCGTTGTGCCTCCATTACGGTCATCCGCTCGAGAAGCTCGGCGTTCTGTGCCCTCAACCTACCATCTGCGTGAAAGCGGTAAGAATTAACGGATGTGGAGGAACTGTCTTCCGGGAGGCCAAACACACGACCTTTGTTCTTAGGCGTAACCTACGATAAAAAATAAATCAATTAATGTTCTAACTTGTTTGTATTGAAATTTATTTTAAATTTGTTTAAATTTGACAGTGTTACTAACYTGGTAGGTGAACTCGTTGATCATCTCGAGTGGAACTTCGGTGGCTGGGGGAGTTCCTTCGACGATCGGTTGGGATTGGAGGTACTCCTCACCGAGCCTCTCCACGCTTTCCACGATTTCACGAGCAATGGCATCTTGAATTTCACCAGTCTTTCTGTTGGTGTGCGCATCTTTGATCAAATCAAGATGTGACGGACGCACACCGGTCTTCTCAATCTGTTGGCATAGATAAGGAAGGAAATATGAGAGGGGTTATAAATAAAATTTTGGAAAATTTAGAAAATTACCAGTTTTTCAACACGTGACGCTTTGCTCGTTGCTCCGAGGTTATGGGTCGCCGGTCCCTTCCCCTTCCGGTCGCTGTTCCGGTTAGTCGAGTTTTTTCCGGAGCTTGCTTTAGTGTCCTCCCGTTCCCAATGGGCAAGTAGTCCAGCCCATAATGTTGGGTTATCTTTTATAACCCGAGGCACCTTTCCTTCTTTGTACCGCATGTCCTTCCACTCGTTTATCTTCAACGAGTACTTTCGGGAGGCCTTTTTGTGGAACTGCCGTCGGACCTGGGCAGTCAACTGTGGGTCCCAAGTAAATTCTTGCTGAAAAAAAACGTACCCAGATTAGTATTGACAATTTGAATGGAAATAAAAATCTACATTCTTAATTGGAAAAAAAAAATATACCGCAAATTGCCGAAACCAGGTCTCCTGGTCTGCCACCGGCATCGAACTGTATGTGGGATACGGTTTAGTTATCAACGAATTCATCATTGCGTTGATAGAACTCGTAATCCCGTTTCCCGAATATTGAAACCTAAACAATATTTAGTTAAATATTTTATTAAGTTAATATAATCAAATACATTTTTAAATAAAACTTACCAGGTCGTGTTAGGTGGCAAGTCAGGATCTAGGCGAGTCAACCTATCCCGTCCGGGTTGCGAAACAAACTCCTCAATGCTCATGG